TCATGGAAAAAAATGAGCTCCAAGTAAAAAAAAAAAAAAAAGGAGAGGTTGTGTTGTGCATGCACAGTGTTCACAAAGATGTTTCATCATGGAAAAAAATGAGATCCAAGTAAAAAAAAAAAAAGGAGAGGTTGTGGTGTGTGCATGCACAGTGTTCAAAGCTGTGGCCCTATCTCCCTTTACAGCTCATAGTGAACACAAACAGGAATGGGGCTGTGGCACAGACCTGAACCAGCTCCTCCTCCTTTTTTCCAGATGCTTCAAAAGCTTCACTTTTCAGGTCATACTGACAACAACTGAGCAACTTCTAACTAAAAAACAATTTTGCCATTTCACCTAACTTAAAAAGGAAGGCTATATGTCATTCCCTGATTTTTCTATCCAATTTTTTCCAGGGAAACATGCACTACAACCTCAGAGTATAGTTCTACTGAGGCCATAAACCCAGGTCTCTTCCACAGCACACAGATTTTGTCCCCATATAATTTGTTCTCTGCAACAACTTTCCACTGATTTGGATGAATATTAGCATGGAGGGCAACTGGTTAAATAATGAGTAGAAGAGCAAAGGTTACCCATGTAACTATTTGATGTAAAAATGCTTTAAAAGGCAAACACATTATGCATGTATTAGTTTTTAAAAATCTACCCCAAAACAGACCTCATAAGAAAGATCTGTCAGACACAACACTTTCTAGGCAATGACTTTATATATGCATAGCAATTTGTATTACAATTTCTAAGATCAAAAAAAAATAATGCAAAGAATATTTCAATGTTGGAGGAGCAATTACTCAAGCCCTTGGAAAAACAACTTGGAAAACGCTCAAAATTATAATGAGTAGAAACAGCCTAAGCTCTAAGAAGTTTATCTCTGTCTCATCCACACACTCCCTCTCATGCTTAAATCCCTTGAAAGGCAGACATACAAAATGGATTGCTGAGGTTTCCACAGAGCTCACAGTTTAATTCATCTCTCTCCAGCAGGAATCCCACACCAGTGATGTTCTGTTACTTGTCCTTTGGAAATTGTAGTAGCTATTGAAGAGTGGACATAAGCAAGACCTTACATCTGCACAGTTGCAAGGGAGAGCTGTGCTCTGAATAAAGGACACTCACAAGAGCACTGCAAAGATTGCACCCTGAAGAATTGCAGGGAAAGCATATCTAATCCCTCCCCTTGGCTTTCAAAGCTCAAATGTTGAAGACTTGCCCCATTTAATCTTAAAAATATTCTTTATATGCAGAAGGATGGAACCTGAAGCTGCAGGAATTAATGTACAGTGAAGGTGATTTCAGGTACAGGTTTCCACCTTTGCAGACCAAAGTCGGCACTTCCCACCAGCAGTTGTTGTGATTAACTCCCTGGAAGTCCACACAGTCTCCAGGAGCAGTAAGGGCTGATCTTTTCAGTCTTGCCACTGAGGTGCAAGCACAGGTCTCTCTGCCTGTTACTCAGCTGTGCAGTCCAAAATATATGGGAACAAAGCAGCTTAAAAAATGAGCTCATCATTCTTTGCTGCCAGTCTCTCTTCAGCCTCTGCTTGACCACCACAGCTGTAAAGTGAAGGTACAATCCACTACAATTCCCGCATTTTCCCAAGTGATGGGGTACCAGTCACCCCTAAGACACCATCAACAGTGCAGCTGGATACCCAAAGATGACTGTAGCAGCCATGGTACAAACAGCCACTCAGTGCTCCTGTCCCCAAGGCAGAGCTGTGCCAGACACTCTTATATCACACTGGGAACACATCCAGGGCAAGCTGCATAAAGTCACCCAACACCCTCACCTCTTCATTGACTTAGATGCCTTTGTTCAGGCTGCTGGAAACATTATGCCCCAGGGTTAAAAATAAACTTTTTCATCCTCAACTCCTAGTTCCCTTGAGAAAAACCACTTCAGAGAAGTCAGTACAGTCTCTGTGCAACCTTTGTGCCAGCCTTTCACTGCTGTTATTACCACCTAGGCTTCTTTGTATGGTCAGGGTTGTGCAACAATTTATATTTTCACTCTACTTTCCAAAAGAAGCCTTTATTCTATTGAAGAACTAAATTTTTGACAAGCTTAAATGAAAAGCTTCCTTCCAACAGATCTAGGAGAACCACAAAAAAGCCAGCTTACATATCCCATACGTGTTAACAGCAGCTCTCACTGAAATAGTTTAGTGAACTGAAGTAGGTTTTGCTCCAGCTCTGATTTCTTGAGTATTACATGATTATGTGAATTGTGATTTTTTGTAAATAATGCTATCTTGCTTGAAACTACAACCAGAGGATCTTCTGCTAATCTCTTACTGAGTTTGGGAAGGTTGCAGCAAGACCAGGCCTCTAAAGACACAGTCCAATGAGTTCACCCTCTTTAAAGCAGAAAGGCAAAGAAGGGTGAACTTGCAAAACACCTCTCTCATTTGTTACTTTGGAACAAGAGATATGTCAGCCAAAGTCTTTTCATCTTTTGCCTTGAAAGAACTAGGGAGTTAAAAAAAGTGTTTCTCCCCAGTGGATCTCAAAGCTGAAGAGAGCAGATTTTAGTACATTCTAGGCTGATTGTATTTCTAACTGGAAAATAGCTGCTGTTTTCTTTTTCAGGAATTGAAAGACTGACATTTAAAAGAAGCCTCTGCACAATTATCCAAGCACTCAGCTATCAGGGTATGCCAAAACTGAGGCTTTGCACTTGCCCTCCACTCCACATTCCTCACCTCTGGGAACCAGCATTACGCTGCTATTTACATAATCACAGAATTTCCCTAACACAGCTATATACTTTCCCCTATGCACCATCAAATTGTGTCTATGTTAGATAAGCAAGTAAAAGTCATGTCAAGGACATCCCTAGATTCACAAATAGAAGAGAAGAGAGGGCGAAGAAAAAGCTCTGAAATTTGAAAGGTAGAAAGGATTACTTCTCGTATCTCACTTTTCTTTAAAAAAACCCCACACAAGGAAACCAAACAAACCAAGTAAACCCTTAAATTATAACCAGTAATTGGAAGAACAACATTTATCTAACTTGGACAGGAAGGCTGAGTCAAAATTATTTAGTAGATACAAAGTATCTGTCTCAATGACTATTACAAAAGTAACACATGTAGAGGTTGCTCTGCACATGCACAAAATATTACTAAAATGTAACCTGACAAGCATGTTTTTCCTAATGCTGCTATCTTTCAATGAGAAAGAAAAAAGAAAAAAAATTTCTCAGTTCTAAGTGAGTCCATAAGCAGGGACCAGGGTGGGACTGATGAGCAGGGATGGGTGAGAGGCAATTCAGTGGTGCTGCTGTTTAATATCAAACCCCAGTGCAAAGTGGCAAAGGCAGCATGATTCAAACTGAGGAAGAAAGGGGATAACTGCATACACACACACAGAAGCAGGAGGGAGGGGAAAAGCAGCCTAATCAAAACTAACAGCAGGATTTCTGCTCACACTTCAAACTGAGAGAAGATAAAACCTTTCATTTTCAGTTCTTGAAAGCAAACCCCTGGAGTCCATGTGGAGAAGAGCTCTGCAAAGAACTATCAATCCTTTGAATTCAGTCATTTGCAGAAGAACTACCCTTTTTCCACCTCCCTGAACATTCTTCCCCATTCTCAATCATTTAGCTATTAGCATTACCATTAGACACTACATGACCTTTTCTTTTATATGACAAACCCAAGCGATCCCTTCTGGAGCCTGAAGGTTCATTATCCATACTCATTTTAGATGATTTCCCATCCTCTCTCCCCACTCCATTTCAAGCTATCTGCTGCTCAAACCACTTCTCTTGACAAGCCTAGGTATTCAGCATCTTTTCCTCTTTTCACTAAAAGGCTTCCTGGCTCCAGGTTTTTCATTCTCCTCTGATGAAACCACTCCCCTCACCCCCAAAAATTTTTCCCGGATGCACATTTTCCTAATTTAGGGTCAGCATCACAGACGCCATTTGGGAACTCAAATTACAGAGACAGGCTTCCAGTGAGACTTAGAGGAACACCCAAAAAGTCTGAACATCCCCTTGAAAGTCAGCAGGAAAACTTGACCATGACATGCTGGGCATCCGAATACCACCAGGGCCACACTCACAGGAACCAACATCCTAGAGGAGACAGTAATAGGAATGTAAAATGCCAAAGCATGCCCAGTGCTAAGTCAGGATTCCCCAAACCTGCAGCAGAGTGTTGCACTATTACAGAAAGATGCAACCATAAGGGAAAAGGTTTTCCAAACTAGATTTTCCAAAGCTTGCTGGCACACTTCAACATGGAACATGGACAGGCTCTGTACAAGCAACTTCTGCCAATGTCTGGCCAACTGCAATCTTAGCATTTTTATCAGCAACATTCCCAAATACCTCAAGAAGGACTAAAAAGGCTGGCACACTTCAACATGGACAGGCTCTGTACAAGCAACTTCTGCCAATGTCTGGCCAACTGCAATCTTAGCATTTTTATCAGCAACATTCCCAAATACCTCAAGGAGGACTAAAAAGGAATGACCAGTAGTTCCACTCAGTTTCAAAACCCATTAAATATTTAGCCTCCAAGTACTAAAACACTCAGTGTTTTAACAAGAACATATCCATTGTATTGGAGGCAGGAAATTATACTAGACTTCGATATGCTGCTGAAATTTGAAAACAAAATAGCAGCAAGAGTGTCTTCTCTAAGATGTATTACTTCCTCCTGGTATTTCTGAAGAAGACAAGATTAATTTCATGCTGTCTTGCATGATCAAGGGCAGTGTGAGGATAATAATCAAATGTATTCTATTGCTAGCTGCCACAAGTGATAAATACAATGCATAATTAAACAAGCAGCACCTAGACTGCCTGGAGGAAACAATTATTTAGTGCTTTCATTAGGACATACTCATTTCTCTCATTTTTTTCAATGCATTGTCACATTTCAAGAATCAACCTTAGCTCCATATAACATGAAATCCTACAAGCTCCTGTGGCTGCAGCTGCCCAGGCAGTGCCTGCTGGGAACAGACATTGCTGGATGAGTGCCCACCTTGTGAGTACAGAAGGATCTGCATCTCCAGAAGAACACAGGTGAAGACCTGGACCAGGTTCTCCAGGCCCAGCAGCTCAAAGACCTCCCTCAGAGGGTAGTCAGAGAGTGGCAGCTCGTTGGGGCCAGGTCTCTGGCAAATGATGGGCTCATAAACCCCATAAAACTTGAGCGACCTCCCCGGGGGTGGCAGGGGCACCTCGTAGAGGATGTTGTGGATGTAGCTCTCCAGGGGCAGAGGCGGTGGCTGCTGGGAGGTCACTGCCTTGTAGAGCTGGATCAGGAACTTCTTGCAGGCTTGCATGAAGGGCAGAGGGGTGATGAGGCAGATGCACTTGGAGACGTAGAGCGTGTCCCTGCTGATGTCGTAGGAGTTGTAGCGCTGGAGCTTGGCGAGGGACGTGGCGTCGCCCTCGTCGATGCTGCTGGCCAGGGAGTCCATGCTGCAGGAGGAGGAGGCGCAGACGCTGCTGTACTGCTCTGCGTTGTGCATCTGGTACAGCGTCTGCATGGCCGTGCAGATCTGCTTGCTCGTGACCTCCTCGTAGAAGGTGAGCACAAAGCCGTACGTGCGGGAGCCGTCCTCCCTGGTGATGATGAAGGAGTGCAGCTGCGGGTCTCTGTTGTCCGCCTGCGTCCTGAAAGACAGCCCCTTGGGCATGCACAGCTAAGAGAGGAGAAAAGAAATAGAGTTACCTAAGACACCATTTTACTTTGCTGTTTTTGCTGTACAGGCACATTCTTTTTATCCTCTGCATCACAACAAACCATTTACCTTCAGAAAAAAGTATCCAAGAACAAAACAACTGATGCTACTTAAGACGGAGACAGGACTGACGAATGGAAAGCACCCTCCAAAATAATCCATCTATTAAGTCATTACGACTCATTTTCATTACTTGCTGAGACTGTTTTCATTAATAAACAGTCTTTGTGCCATTTATTTAAGCATCATACAAAAACATCCAGCTCTCCTCTCATTTGCATACATATGCCCACAGTACTCTAAAATCAGAGAGTGAAGGAAGCATTTTATACCACTGGATTTAAATTACATAGACTTCTTGGAATTCTTTGATCTTCCCTAATTTTCTGGGGGAAAAAAAACAACAAACAAACCAAACCCCAGCTGACTGGCAGCTATTACATTTACTTTCTTCTCTAAGTGCTACCAAATAGCTTAGACTGGATAAAAGGAGGGGCAGGGAGGGAAACACCCAAAATCTATGAAAGCCTCATTTTTGATTTACCACTCAGCAAAGTCCCTTGCAGTGATTCTGCTACACTGGGTGTTTCTCTGAAGCATGGCCCTAGTGAAAAATCAAGGCATTTTTCCAGACATTCTTTGGGAATATTATCAAACATCTAATGCAAAATAACAAACATCCAGCAAAACTTATTTGAATTGTGCATCAGCAGGAAACTGCCCATGATCTAGCTAAATATTTATAAACAGAGGACTATAGCTTTATTTCTACCATCTGAAGAAATAAAAGGAAAGAAGAGAAGGAGAACCTTCAAAGTGTTCCTTTTCAAAAAAGGCAAGAGTAGAAGCCAACTTTACCACAGTATATGAACCTAGGCACAACTGAGGCGCATCCCCTAATGTCTCACCTTGAGCAGGAGTAAATTTTTCTGATGCTGGAAGAAGTCAGAAGAAATAACTATATATTTTCATCCTACCCTGAACTTCAGCAGTGCACCTTGCAGAGACCATTCAAGAGCGTGGTAAAGCTGGGAATTAGGCAAGTGGTCGAGACTCCACAACAGGCTATCAGACCCCTAAATTATCTAGGACAGCTCTTATGTATTGCTCAAAAGATGAGGTGTAGGGAAATAAGTAGCCTGGAGTTGGCAGAAGAATTTAATTCAATTGATGGGCTTTGCTGACACAACCCATGAAATTGCAGCTTGAACTATTTCTGAAGAGCAGCCACATTTTTATTCAAGAGCTTTATAGTTTTTATTGAGGCATTAACAGCAGTGCCATGGTTAATGCTCTCCAATAAAGAAGTAGTAAAAATCCTTGTTTCACACTTTATTTAAATTTATTCTCCACAATAAATATCTCTCTTAACCTAATTTTTTGGCAGGCTTGCTTAATAAAAATTTATTTCTAGAATGTGGGCTTTCAATGGTGGCTGTAAGCCTTATCAAAGCCAACCAGGCTGAAATCATAGGCTTAAATCTCAGTGCTATCAGAGACTAAATTTTCTTCATTTTACAGAAAAACACCTGGACAAGAAAATTATAATCAGACATAGATAGGCATCAGGGAAATTCAGATCAGCTGAGACTGTTTCAGAAAGCTGTTTAAATAAATTTCATCCAAGCCTTAATTATTATTCCCTTGTCCTTTATACACTGGGTAAGCACACACAAAGGGATGCTCATCTATTAAGTTTCAGCCACAACTTGACACATGCAGAATATTGACCTTTTAAGACCCTGACTGGAAACCTTGGCTCAGAGACTCCTGCTTTTGTCAGACCTATAAGAGGACACAGGAAAAAGAACCATGGCAGGAGGAATGACCAGGAGTCACTTAAGAAGCTAAGATCAAAAGGAAGAGCCTGTAATCATTTTGCAGCAATACAGAAAGCTTTGAATTTGTGGTTAATGCATGAAAACTTTCATCTTAGAGCCTTGGACATCAATCACTTCCCATCTCATCTGTGTCACACATGCCACAGGAGAGTGTTGGAGAGAAGCTTAGGATGTGCTAAGGCGGGGGTGTGAAATTTTAGCCTGCTGGAATGAATCTGGCTCACTAACACTGAGAACACAGTCAGTCACCTGCATTGCATCTTTGTATAAACACTGAAAACTACCCAAGATTATTGATCAAAAGACGGGATTTTGGTTTCACTTTACTATTCGTATTTAAAGGTACCCATCAGCAGAAAACTATGGAATTACACCAGCTTTGCAATAAGGCTTACAACCAAGATGGTTTGTAAAAACAAAAGGAAGCTGTACCAGGATAGATAAGGAGGTATCAGCTAATCCACAACCTGTCTCTGGAGTCCTGAGTAGGAGATACCCTTTCCCCAAGCACAGAGGCAGGACACACACACCCCCCATAATCCCTCCCTCCTTCTCCCAGCCATCATCATTTGCAGGTATTTCTGAACTGAAGGTCCCCTCTGGACCACTGCCCACTGCCACTGGTTCACCTCTTCTCCACTAGATCCTTCACTTCACTTTTTAAGCCTCTACATACTTCTCACGTGCACAACATGCTATGGCAGCAAGCTCCATATCCAGACTCCACTGTGGAGGAGGGGGTGGAGAGAAAGATGCTTTTGTTTGTGTTAAAGCCAGCTCCTTCAAATTCCACCAGGGAACCCTTAGTTCTTTTATTTCAGTACATGAGACATTAAACAGATAATGCTTCCCTGAGTTTCAGAAATACAGGCAAAGATTTATATACCTTGATGAATCAGAGGGCTAAAATAGGAAGCTCATATTCTAAAAATTTCTGTATCTCTTTACTGCGAACTTTAGTTTGGTACAACACTTACTTGCAGAATGGCCACAGAAGATGGTGTGTGAGGTTAGGCAGGGAAAACCACAAAAAGCAACAGGGGGAAAGACACAATTCCCTATTAAAGGGAACACTGTGCTTTGACATATACTTTGAAACAGAGAGAAAACATGACTCCTTTGCAGCTTGATTGCTTGGGACTTCAGGGGGCTATTTTTAAAACAACAGGATGGTTCCAGAAGGCAATTGAAATTCCTTAGGCATCCAGCAAAGCCAGAGTTCTCACAAGTTACCCTTCAAGGATTTATGCATTTTCTCCTCTGAGGAAAATTGTTTCTGGAAGCTCACATAAAGCAAACACATAGGCAGAACTAATACAGCAAGGCAAGATCAGAAAGGCCAATAATTGCCTCAAGAGATTCCGTGGAGGTGGATATTACTTTAAATGATGTTTCAGATCAAAACAATAAAGAAGTTTTCCAAAAGATAATTTAAAAGATCATTAAATACTGCTGCTGTTAGTAAATGCTTTTTTTTTTTCTCAAAGACACATTGCAAATGAAAGATGTATTCAAGGCAGCTCAGCTCAATTATTTTAATAGGTCTCTTGCTGGTTTTAGCATTCCATTTTGGTCCAATACTGTGATCACACTTCATGAATATTAGACATTCTCCACTGTAACGTGAGAGACAAATAACACAGCAATTCCAGCTGCTTTACTCCTGCTGCACACCCCTCATTACTTCATACTGGAACTCTCCCAATGCAAAGGCAGAACTAGAAGGCATAAATAACTTTGGCAGTTGAGCTATTACCATCTTAACTGCTGACAAAGCATTGCTGTGAGTCCTTCATGCCTTCTGTATCAGCACAGTGATGTGGAGACCAGCCCAAATACCACCCCAATTCCAGCAGTGCACATTTGGAAGCAGAAGACAGAAACCCCCAGCTGTAAGCAGGCAGGGGGAATGGCTGGGCTCATCTCTGCCCTTCTGTGCAAGTGCAGTGCCACAGTACCAGCTCTCTGTTACTGCTACTTCCAGCTTCTGTGCTTTCCTCTTGAATATTTGTCAGAACACTAAAAATAAAATTTGGTGGAAATTGAGATGAACTCCAGATTTCTACACCTTGATGACTGCAGGGAAGTTCCAACTGCATTTTTTGCATTTGTGAAAGCCAACTTCATGTGGGTTTTATGTATTCTCCACCTCTCCATCTGCTGGGTGAGAGCCAGGTGAGTCTCCTGACTTCTCTCTTGCACCACACAACGAGGTCAGCTCAGTTTTGAAGCAGGTGGTGTGCTGTCCTGCCTTCCTCAAATGCAAAGCTCATCTAACTTAGACTGGGGGAAGGGCCTTCCTCATTTTCCAATATTGACTGAGACCCAACTCACATTTTTGAAAACAGCTATAATATTGTGCAATATTACTGTCACAACAATTGATTATTTTTAAATTAAGAAACATATGGCATTTTCTGTACTGGGAAGCTCAAATACCAGTAACTGTTGTCTTTGTCAGGTTGTGTTCTTAACAAGTGCTTTGGTGATTTTGGAATCATCCTTTAATTACCAGTTCTTCAGAAAAATTCCCAGTGGATCATCAGTCTTTCAGTTGCCACTACCCCCACCCCAGGAACTGTTTTTCCCCCCCTTTCCCAGTCCATGGGACTCAGCCACACAGATGCTCACATCAAATACAACTGAGAGGAAAGAGATGTACAGGAGATGTACTGGTGCAGAGGTGCCATTAAACGTGATGACCCAGCAAAAGCTGTGGTTTAGCCAAGTTCCAGCTTCTGCGTAAAGATTCCTCTTCCCCTTGTCTGCAGAATCAACATGTTTTGTACTCCAAAACCTCACAAGGATATCAGTATCTTAAAAATTCCTTGGTGTGCCTCCTTCCTACCTGGGGACAGCATCCTAGGTGACCACACCCCTTCTCAGCCAGTCCCTGGGATGGTGCTTGGACTTGTTTTATCATGCAGCACACTCAAAACTAACGAGGGAACACAGCATTTTACTTTTGTTGTGCCTGAAAGTATTCTGTGTTTTCACAACACCTCTTCCTCTGCAGTTTTCATGCAGCATGCCCAGTGAGTGCTCTTGGTCCCAGCAGAAGCACCACAGCCTCAAGATCACAAGAGCATCACAAGGGCTGGCTGTAAACAACCCAGGAACATCTCAAGAGCTGACACAATCATTTGAGAAGAGAGTTTTTCTCTACCTACCATGTTGACAGCATCCTGGTCAAAAGGGTTCCACTCGATGTTCTGAGGATAGTGGGCCAAAACTTTGGACTTGAATGTTCTTCTTAGGGGACTCTGGTCAAAATTCTCTCCTGCAACAAAGGAAGAAATAATGACTCAAAACAGCAGTGAGGCTTCAGAGAGCTGACTTGGGTTTTCTTTTTTTTTACCAAATCTGATGGACATTTTGACTCTCAGAGGTACTACTTTTAAAACAGAAAAGATTCAGTCTGACCTTACCCTCCTCACAAAAACTTACTGCAGTTGCCATGCAGCTTCCATTTTAGTATTTACAGAATGGAAATACATTGTCAAGAGAAAAATCACTGCTGAAATTTTACAGAAAAATACCTTCCAATCAACTGGATTCTTGACCTTCTCCAACAGCTTGAATACCTAGAGACAGCTTTACTTAGAGAAAGAGCACTTTCCCTCAAATTTGTCAGAAGCTCTCTTTAAGGTCAATAACAAATATGAGCACCTCTTGGCTAGTATTAATTATTCAAGCATTCATTATAGATGGTATTTTTTATATTACAAGTCCTATGTGAAAATTAAACATTTATTTTTTCTACATCAAATTTCAAGGACATGCTTTCTCCACACAAAGAATCCAGCAAGTGCAAAGAGGAAGAGTGAAATTAGACTTCAAGCAGAAATGCATCCAGTTACCAGCATACAAATACTGTATTTCACAGTGATGTTGTTAATGGAGTTCTCCCCACTGGATTGTCTACAGCATGCAAAACAGTAATCAAAAAAAGGAGTTCTTAAAATTTATTCATTAAATGACCATCTATTACACTATCACACAAAACCAGTTCAAACAGCACTAATATGCAAGTGCATTCTGAGAAAAGGCTTTATATCTTTTCCTTCCCACGTAATCTCTAAGATTTTAAAGATATTGTTATTTTTATATAACATTTATTTTGAACACAGGATTTAGACACATTAATTCCATTAGCAGTGGAATCATCACCCTTGAAAGTGTTCAAAAAACATGTGGATGTGGCATGTAGGGACACGTTTTAGTAGCAAAAAGACAGTGCCAGGTTTAATGGTAGGATCTGATAATCTATGAAGATCCTCCACAAGCTCAGTTACAAACTCAGACCAAGGACACCAAAAACAGAGACCATTTCTCTATTTCAGAACATGGCAGTAGAATAACCTCTTATTTTGGTCCAAAAGTTCTTTGCAGAGCCATTAAAGACACAGTGTCATCCACCAATTTCCAAAATGTCACAAAATAAAGATCCTACCAAGCAAAGCCAGCAAAAATTCTCTCCAGGTATGTACTTAGACATACTCAGCAACATTTTTACCTCTTAGAATCAAACAGTAATTAACATGCTCGCATAATCAAACAAATATGCATGAGGTTATTTCCCAATTATCTCTTCAATCATTCTCACATCTGACAGAGTTTACCTTGCAACTGTGACTTGGCAGAAAGGCAGATGTTTGATGCTAAATTTATTTAGTTGCTTCTACTAAAAGTTAGAAGAGAACATCTGGATGACTTAATGAAGTTCTCTACTGCTAGCAGCAAGTGACTGCTGAAGTTTAAATTTCTTTAAAGGTTTCCTTTCTCATGACAAAAAAACAGAAAAAGTTTTTTTTATCAAGTATAAGCATTGCTTTAAGAAATCCATCTGCCCAAAACCAGAAGTTACAATGTCCCTGTAGGCTGACAACATGGATTCATTTTATCCAGGAAAATAAATGGCACAAACAACTTACCTTCATAGAGTCTCTGCAGTATTTGCATTTTACCACTCCAGTAGTTTAAGAAAAATATAAACTTTAGGTAAAACACAGAGAAAATGCTATTCTCTCAATCAGTGATCATGAGGGAAAAGCAAAGAGCCAAGACACCACACTGGAGTAAATCAACCTGTGATTAGCTTGAAAGGACATGACATTGCACCCTCCGTACAAAGCTGCCTCACAGAAAGACAAGCAGGGCAAGCTTTTGGAGGAGATACATAAATTAGGAAAAAAAAAAACAATACAAGGATGTGACAGGAGCAGCCTGTGTGTGAGGGTGAAATGCCATCATTTGCCCAAACTAGCAGGAAACATCCCAACTCTCACCAAAACCAAATGAGAAGCATGGACCACAACAGCCAACTCCACACTGACAAGCAGCTGGAAGAGAACCACAGGGAGCAGAATCTTCTTGGCAAACATGAGGGAAGGGATCTGGACTGAAAGGTGCCTGATACTATCAGCTCTCAGCCTTGGTAGTTCTGAGCTGCTGAGTCACACGTGGCACAGAGAATTTACTTAGCTGTTATTCTAGACGAACAGTGAATTTTCATTAAACCTCCCACATGCTTTTAAGTGCTTCTTTGCTAACTTTCCAAACAGGATTAGCAAGGCACATTTAAAGTGAACCAAGTATTAAATGCAAATTGAATCCATTTGCTAAAATACTAATGGCCAGATAACACTACTCTGTGGACAGGAACATTGTATTTGATGCATGCTGCCCATGTGAACAGTACAACTCTCAGAGGCAAATTTTTTAAAAATTGGGTTTGAAATCAATCCTTTTGCTTTCAGGATATTTAAAATTCAAGGACTTTTTAAAAATGTGCAAAACCTGTCAGATTCAGCTTCCATTTCATTTTGATACTACATCTTGTCAATGGTACTCTTAAACAACTTGTGCCTTCCTTTAAGGAGCTGGCTTTTAAAGGGACATTTAGTTTCAAATTAAAAGCAAATAGTGAAGCGATGGATGCTAGATCAAGAAAAAACTGTGCTAATTTAATTTCAAAACAAAAAGATTGCTCAAAATTAGAAAACAAACCTGATCCATGTATTGGATGAAAGATACAATTACTAGGGAAATCCAGCTACAGTCGTGAAGTTGTTAATCATGATGACTTTCATAAGAGTGATCCTACGTCAAAATTTAGTGATCTTCAAGTTTAAACAGATCTGTTTCAATTATTGTCACAGGGACAGAGGCACACAAAGCTTTGTACCAAATAGGCAGAGGCATCTTCCACCCTCTGGCCCAGGGAATGCCAGCTATCTGTCACTCCTTCCAAGCTCTGGAACAGAGACAGGAATGCCTGTGACTACAGAAACAAAAATATCTTTTATTCCTTTAGAGGAACGTACTGGGAGCACAGCTATGCACAGTGCTTGTGGTGACCACCTCTGTGACAGCCACCTCTAATTAAAAAGTGCTCAGCACACCCAGCTATGGCCTCTCCCTGCAGATGGAATTTTGTTAAGCTTATTTAATAACAGGATGACCCTGAACGAGAAGCAAATAATACACAATGTGTGAGTGAGAAAACAATGTGGGCACAGGAGTAACAGTGCTTGGCTGGGGAGCAAGCAAGCTGTTAATTGTCAGGCTCAGGAGCTGGTTAGTTTAAGTAGAGCAGAACTGCTCTGCTGCTTTTCTTCCATGCCTCCCCAGGATGCCAAGGGGGCAGTGAGGGGCTGATCAGAGTTCAAGGACATTGTAACCCAAAGTTCTTATTTCTGACCTCACATTCTCATAATCTCACAGCAGAGGATGGAGATGATGAGAAAGGGAGGACTGGGACAAGGTAGAAAAAACAATTTTCATTACAAAGTTTTAAAATCTGAATTGTCTGTAAGACAGTAGTGGATTTGGGGGTGCTGAGGAGGAGGGCAGTGTCTAACCTGCCTTTTGTATGCCAACATGTAAGGAATTAATGGATCATATTTAAGGAGGAAACCATAGGGGGATGTGTACCCTATCAATACATCTAAATTAGTTGGAATTTTTGGGGGGGTATGTGTCTATGTGAACCTCACCAGTATTGCTATTTAAATCTAGACTGCAAAATAAGCTTCCTTGAGGTGTCAGGAAACTGTGTGTCTCTGTAGCAGAACTTGGTGGAGCTGAACCTTCCAGTCCCCCTTATTCACAAATCCATATAACTAAGCCTTGTTAGATTTCTGGGTAAGTATCCTGTAAAATGGCCTCATGCAAGACATTTTTCAGTTTATTATGCACAGTCTCCTCTCCACCAATATATTGACAATATACTGACATCACTAGTGGGATTTTGCTGGAGAACCACATCTGCCAAGAGAGCTTCAAGAAATAGAACAGAATTTTCCAAATATTGATTTAAATTAGGTAAAAGAATTAAGAAGTCCAAGAGGTTTGATTTTGATTTGGATCTGTGATTTTCAATTTGATTCAAGGGGAGTTAGGAGACTGAAAATAAAGAAATAGAGAGGTCCTGATCATTGTTTTATCCTTAACCCCTCTTTACCTGAGGTTTTGTCTGCAGTGTCTGAGCTCTTGCCATGGAGATCTGCTTGTAGATATTGGTACAAGACTACACAACATAACAAACAGAAATAAAAAAAAAGCAAGTATGAACAAAATGAAAAGATATACAATGTACTGGGGAAGGGAAAAAACATGAAGCAGACATTAAATATTCCCCCTCACAATCTCACTTCCCCCCACTACTGGCAAAGGGTAAATCCACAGGATAAATAAAACCTTCCAGGACTGGATTACTGTAGAGGTGTTGAATGCAACGACAGACATGGCAGAAATACTTGTCAAAATTAGTAACAAGATTAAATTCTCAGTACTTCAAACAACACACTGCTTTACAGCTTCCCTATTATGAAAGGCATCTTTGTTCACATATTGAGCCCTTCAAGAGCCTGAGAAACTCAGGGGAAAAAACACATCAGTCCTTCAGCTAGTGTTGAACTAAACCCAAGAAGTTTTATACAGGATAATACTGTTAGCTGTGTTGTTACACCTTCAATCCTGTACTGCACACCATTTTCAGGACTTACTGAAGTTACCTAATAGCTCTATTCATAATTTCTGTCTCATAACTGGGTGTTTTTAGATTAAAATTTTAATAAATAAGCTATGTTTAGAACTTGGATGAAAAATTTTAATGTGTTCCAGCACCAGCTACCATTTCTAAAGGAAGAGCTTCCTGCTAGCATGTCTAACTGAGGCTTCTTCTAATTGGTTTGCTCATCTCCTTCAGACAAACAAAAATGTTTTCACAGATGCCTTGGCATTTCTGTGTCAAAAAAACCACTACACAAAGGCATCACACAATCCTCCTCAAGTTCAATCTTTTTACAGAGCTAGCACCTATGTTAAAGCTGCAATAGCAGTGACCTGTCTGGTGATTCACTCTCTAGGTGTAAATTTAGAGTAGTGTTTGCTACAACCTCCTACCTGAGTGTCAATCCAGACACCAGTACAGAGGACACCGATAGTTCTGCCAAGGCCAGATTTTTTGGGAAGACAACCCTCAGCAGAAGGCACAGGAGTTCTTCCAACAGAGATTTTTAGATGTGAGTATGTATTTCAGGATAATTTTCTCTCTTCTTCAGGAGGCACCTGAAGATAGCCCACAGTCAAATCTGCATGATGATGTTTCTCCACCCCGTATGTCTTAAGTAATTTCATTCTAATTTTGAGCTGTTTGAACTAAAACATTGCAGAAGTATTAAATTAAATGAAACAAAACAATTGTCAAAACTAGAGATATACCTCTTGCTAAATGGCCCATATCCACACTACCTTGACAAGTCTCTCTGCCAGGCTGTCCTTTCAGCTCTCCCCTAAATATTTTAATTCCAAGGAAATTTGGCACTGAGCTTCCACAGAGGTATCCAGCACCTCTGCAATAGGAAGAGTGAAAAGGAGCAACCTGTGAAACAATGTATAGCCAGATGATCTAGGACAGGCTCTGGTTTGATGCCCATTTCACTTCTTTGACCATTTATTATCATCAATCACATGGCTAAGCAGACACAGAAGTGAGTAAAAACCCCTGCACAGGAAGTCAAATTGCCAACAATGATAAAAACACAGAGCTATGGACACTCTCCTGGGTTGTACCACCTAATTCTTGACACAAACACAATGTAATGAAACACTGTTAGAGCCACAAATTAATTACACTTGGAAAAGGTACAGTATTTTAAAAATTCTATTAAAAAGATTTGTTCACATAAACAAGTCATTGTACACCTAAATAAAGAAGAAAAGGCTCTTGAAATGAGAAATTTAGTTTGCCATAATCTCTTCCTTCTGTCCTTGATTAAAATACTAAACTGTCTGCCTACTGAATAACACTATACAGCATCAACACTGTCAGTCTTAAAATAGCCCCAAGTCCCAGCTGCTAAGAGATCACAGGCATGTCACTACATTAGCAAGTAAAGTATGAATTACACCATCCCTTTTACACCAAAATTGCATTATAATCTTGCCAAATCCAAAACAAATCAAATTAGGTCAGTTTGGGTGATTTTTTGCAGTGGAGCAGGTGGAGTTTAACAAACAGGTGCCCTAGGCATGGTGCTCCTACACAATTACCTTGGAGTCTGTCTCCAAAGGCTGAAGGCATTAGCAGGCAACAGTGGAGCAGGTATAAAACCAGAACTGTACTTATAAGTACAGGGAATTGTTTATACATTGGGCCTTTATTTTCTCTAGAAATCAAGGTGTGAAATTCACTCATACCTTTCATACTGCCTTTACAAGTATGGGTTTCCAGTCTAGGGAAAACATGCTCCAGAGATCCTTGGCCTATCCTGTTCACATACAAGTGGCATCTTTTATTTTCTGTTACATGTTTATATTCAAACCTGCTGTATCTTTTGAACACTTGATATAAAATGGATGAGCATTTTTACTAATAGAGAAAACAATCCCAGCAACAATTAAAAGTTCATTTAAATTGAAGTTTCATACATCATAATTCTTAAAATGCTTGCTAAGTCTTTGTTTAGTTACATGGGACATGAGCAAGGTATGCAACTATATGAAATTGAAGAGTTTGAAATGCAGCTCTCAGTTCCCAAAAGAACATTAATGATGGCAGAGTAACAAATGCTCAAGCAGGAATAAGACCCTGGCTCAGGTCCTTAAACACAGCAGGATGCTAAAGCCTGTCCAGCAAGGGGATCCCTGGCTTTGGAGCAACAGGCACCTGACTACTGCAGTCTTGGGATGAATCACAACGAAAATGAAGGTATTTTAGATGCCATCACATTCCTGTGAAGTTTGAACAGCTTCCTACCCACTGCAATGCCAGTTTCCCACTCCTTGTTCCACGTGCTCATCTCCCTTCACAGACAGGACACAGGACCAGGTGCCCAATCAGGCCTTTTGCACAGCACATCTTTCATGCTTGTGCTTTCTACTTACTAACAGAAACAGGTTCAAGTTCAAATGCATCTAATTTATGTATTAGAATATGATGTTGCATTCTCAGACTGGTTTTGAAAACAGTCTCACCAATACAATTTCTGACTCACGACTCAAATCAGGTTTTGTTCTCTACTCCATTGTAGAGGTACACTACAGAGGTAGAACCAGAGTCTTGTCTCAAGACCTGCTTTGTTACAGTAGGCATTTCTGGAGGAAAGGTAAGGAAAAAACCCACCAAACCCCACAAACAAGTAGAACCTGTCATCTTGAAAATCCCTATACTACTACTGTTTAGGTTTGTGTGCAACCATGCAGGAAAGAAAGAGGAGTTTTTCAGTAAATTTTGCTTTGGGCCTTTTTTAACACAGGGACAAACAGCTTCATTTTTATAATTCCAGTCCATTCAGTTACCTTTTAAACTGGGCTGTTAAGTTAGGGGTTTTTTTTTAACCACTCTGCAATACACATACATCATACACCCATATTAGTCTCCACTCATCAGGATGGCAAGCTTCAGGTGTTTTATTACTTGAAGTCAGAAGCAATTTCACGAAAGCCACATTTATAGAACATCACCCAAATTAAGCTCAGCTTGCAAGTCAGTACAAGAAAAGAAAGAAGTTTAATTTGACCTGGACCATTTTCAGCACTAAATAACTTTGACATCAACAGAGCATGAAGATGTCCACACTGCAGCTAGAATACCCAGCTAAACTCAGGGGTTAAGCGTTCTTTTCACTACACAAGCTTGAGGCCTCAGTTCCCTGGACTCAGCAACCTTATGCTGGGATTTCCCCAGATTAAAGGAAGCCCTTCCTTGCTGATGTTGCTAAGAGTTATCCCTTGATGTGCTGAGCCACACCAAGATGCAAGAGACTCGTGGCTGGTTTTTACTCAGCACTGCCCATGTGCTGTTGGCACCAGAAGGAAGCTATCCCTAGTTTCTGAGGAAGATTCTTCTTCCAACAGTCCACAGTCCACAACCCAACACTGGCACACAAATGGATACTTAAAACACCTGTCCAGAGAAGGGACAGCCTCTTTGCAGCTCTTTGAAGAGCTGGCCCACACCTGTGAGGTTTACACAGCTGGTTTCCTTAGTGGGGCAAAAGGAAGATTCAGAAAGGTTGGCCCCAGGAGTGGCTCCCCACTGTAGCGAGTTATTTCTTTTGCACACCCTTTACAAGCACAGGGTTACAAGAAGGCAACTCACCTGTCAAATGCTGCAGCTGCTAGCTTCGTGAAAAATTAGTTAAATATGTGGACTTGGTGAGAAAAGGGTCAGGCAAAGAAAGAACTTTGCTACTTGAAGCCAACAAAGCTCTTTCACTGGAATAAAGTAGAAGCACTCCCTTGTGTAGCACAAACTTTATTTAGGGAGCTCTGAGCAACTGCTGTGTAAGTTGCTGCCAATAAGGAATTGGCCTTACAACAGTCTACAAGAACCAGTCTTCCAACAGTTTTCAACAAATGAATCCTTTTAGAAGACAAAAAACCTTCTGCACACTGAAAAGCCACAAGAACCCTCAGGCAAGGCTTGAAATTACCAGGGCTTCCGGATGGAGAAGGGTAGCAAGCAGGAATGGAGCTGCAGAGAGGATATGCAGCCCACACAGCCATATTCATCTTTAAAAGCTGATATATGGTATTTGTGGGGTTCCCAGATGAAGAAAGCCATGTTCTCAGAAGGCTACTTTATTATTTTAAGATCCCGTATTATATTAAAGAATACTATACTAAAGAATACTTAAAGGATACTTACAGAAGGCTAAAAGATAAAGAAGACTTGAGACTCTTTCTAGAGCCCTGACACAGCTTGACTGTAATTGGCCAATAAGGCAAAACAATTCACACGAAACACATGAAACCAATTAAACAATCACCAGTTGGATAAAGAATCCCCAACCACATTCCAAAGCAGCAAAATACAGGAGAAGCAAATGAGATAATATTGTTTTCCTTTTTCTCTGAGGCTTCTCAGCTTCCCAGGAGAGAAATCCTGGGCAAAGGGATGTTTTCCAGAAAATATGACTGCCACACTGATACTTCTACTTAAGAGCTACCTGAAAACCATTTCAGTTTGCAGACTACTCTCAGCTGCTTCAACGTGGCTGTACCACAGTAACTGGAGATGAG